AAGACGCGGTGTGGCCATGGCAACGCTCGGCGGCCGCCGATTGGCTGCCGGGCCGGGCGCGGTCTGGCCGGCAGAGCCCTGCAGGCGCGCCGGACCGTGCTCTGACTGTGACGTCCGGGTTTGACCCTCCAGGTGCTGCTGGCTTGGGCTCACAGCCCCTTGGCTGGACTGCACCGTGAGTCCTCAAGGTCTGAAATCTGTGTGCGTGCCGTGTGGGGATGTCGGTGGGGGGCGTCACACCAGGGAGGCTTCGGGGCCTCAGGGAGGTCTGGGAACCCGAGGGGCTGCAGGGATGAGCAGGTGTGTTGCCCGGACGACTGTTCCGCGGGTGCAGGAGGGCGAGGAGCTGGCTCTCAAGTTGTCAGTCCTTCTGCTCAGATGCCAGGAGGGAGTCTGCAGCAGGATAGCTTCAAGTTTTTGGTGATGTTACTGAGAGCAAGAGGAACTTGGAATAGCTATCTTTTTTTGCCCCCATTCGCTCTCGGGGGTGGGTGGGGGTGGGTGGGGGTGGAGGCTGTCAGTGGAATCTGAGAAAAGCCCCTGGCAATTTTCAGGTTGGTTAAGAGGCAGCCTCCCAAATAAAGACAAGCTAACAGCTGCCCCTGGCTCCGGGCGCAGCCCGACCTTGCTGCTCTGGAAAATACCCCAGTAAAGGGACCCTTTGCCTATTTGAAAGGCAGGCTCTGTGACTGCAAACCAAGGACTTGCTGCTCTTCTTAACCCAGCTGGGACACCTTCTTTGAGTTAAGCAATACATGGGTTAGCTGAGCACAGAGCACAAAACCTGTAATATTCTCCAACGTGTCACTGGCTTAGCTTCAGAAGGGAAAATGCCTTTGAATACAAATTATTTTACAGTATATGTACTGTCCTTGCTACACTGAAAGCAGAAAAATTCTGCCAACCAGGAGTAACAGTTCAAAATGAGGTCTCCGATTTTCTTTCCTTGTTTTATTTGTTTGTTGGATGGAGGACTGGGATGCTGTTTAAGAGTGGAGTGGAGGATACCTGGTGAAGGCAGGCACTGCGTTATTCTCATGCAAATTCCCTGAGAACTGTTAACTAACATGAAAGGATAGTGACTATGAGTTTGCGACAGTTAATGGTTACAGGGTATCCCTGTATGTACTCATATCCAGCAGGTGCTTTGTTTCTTTTTCAAAAAGATTAAAAAATTAAATCATAGTTGATTTGCAATGTTGTATTGGTTTCTGGTATATAGCATAGTGATTCAGTTTATATATATATATATATATATATATATATATATATATATATTCCTTTTCATATTCTTTTTCATTTAGGTTATTACAAGATATTGAATATAGTTTCCTGTGCTGTATAGAAGAATCTCGTTGTTCATCTATTTTATACGTAGTAGTTTGTATCTGCCAATCCCAAACTCCCAATTTATCCCTCCCTCTCAGTAACCATAGTTTGTTTTCTATGTTGGTGAGCCTCTTTCTGCTTTGTAAATAAATTCATTTGTATCATATTTTAAATCCCACACATAAGTGATATATGATATTTGTCTTTGTGTGACTTACTTCACTTAGTATGGTAATCTCTAGGTCCATCCATGCTGCTGCAAATGGCATTATTTTATTCTTTATGGCCAAGTAGTATTCCATTGTATAAATATACCACAGCTTTCTTATCCAGTCATCTGTTGATGGACACTTAGGCTGTCTTCATGTCTTGGCTGTTGTAAATAGTGCTGCTGTGGACATTGGGGTGCATATGTCTTTTCAAATTAAGAGTTTCCTCTGGATATATGTCCAGGAGTGGGATTGCTCGGTCATAGGGTAAGTCTATCTTTAGGTTTTAAGGAACAGGTGCTGTGTTTCTAACAGGATCGTAGGGAACAAATGGGGGGGACGTATTCAGATTACACTCACCTGTGAAACCTAGTGACTCTGGTCAGATGACCGAGTTGTGACAAATACTTAGTTCACAGAGATTGTTGCAGTGCTGTTATAAAGACAAGGTTCAGAAGAGAAGCCGTGAGCCCTTCCTCTCCCTAGCAGACTACGTGGACGCCCTGCTGGCATGTCTGGTCTCGGGAGCCTGCCCTGTGGGTGGGAGCACTTCACTAGCATGTCCAGGCAAATCGGAGCCACTTGTCACCCACTGGAAACTTGTCGGGGAGCCCTGTGGGTTCCTCCTCCACAAGCCTGGGCCCCACCAGCCGTGTTCCCTTAAAGTGGAAAAGCTTATAGAAGGGCAGTGCCCCAGGAGGTGGATGAGTCAAATGTGCTCTACCTGCAGAAGTTCCTGGACCTGTGGGGAACCTCAGTGAGGCGTCCCCCCGCCCCCTCTTCCCCGGGACAGTGGCCTGTGAAACTGACCTCGCTCTACCATCTTGCTGATCTTTCTCGGGGAAAGCAGGTACTTATTAGCCTGATGACGAGTTTCCTGGCCTTTCATTAAGATGAACGTTGCCGCCAAGGCGCCCCGGGCACACGAGAAGCGTGACGCTGTGTGCAGACGTCCTTTCTGCCCTGACCTCATCCCTAGTGTGGCGCTCACTTGGAGTGCCCGGGGGAGCATGTCCTGGTGGGACTGGACACAGGCAAACCAGGAAAGGCAATTCACAGTTAGAACTGTGGCAAGGATCTGGCCAGCAGTGTTCTCATCCACGTGGCTCTGCCTTCATTCTGGTTCCGGAGGAAGACTGTCTTCATGGCACAAATGCCAGGAAACCAGGAATTAGCCTGCGCGTGGCAGTCATTCACTTGTCGCATTGGTCCCCGCGTTCAGCCAGTGTTCTGAGTGCTGGCCACATGCTGAGGGTTACAGTGAGTCCCTTGAGTTATGCCTGGGTCCTGCTGCTGGGCTCCGGCCACCCCCAATCATGTGATAAAGAGGGCGTGCCCCGGTGGGGGACCATCCTCCGCGCGGCGCAGTTCCGTGAAGGACGTGCTGGTGCAGGCGACGCTTGGACGTGCACACTGGGTCTCGACTTTGGCTCCTGCTCGTGGTGCTCTGCGCTCGTTCAGGTGACGCCCGTGAGGGCACGAGTCTCCTGCTCCTGCGTGACCGCCTGGGAGAGGGCCTGCTGGGTGAGTACAGGTTTTCCTGCATGAGGAAGGGCTGACCTGTTTCCCAGGGTGGCCGGCCCCCGCGTTGAAACCAGCAGTGGAGGGTAAGGGAGCCGTTTGCCCCGGGCCCCACAGCACTCGGTGCAGCCAGCCTTGTCGATTTCAGTCATTAGTGGGTGTGAGTGGGGACTCACTGTGGTCTTAATTTGCATGTTCCTATTACTAGCGAACTGAATGTCTTTTTAAAGGGTCTTTAAATGTTACTTTGTTTATTTGTTTTCTGGGGGGAGGTCAATGGGTCTACTTATTTATTTACTTGTTTTTGATGGAGGTGCTGGGGATTGAACCTAGGACCTCGTGCATGCCAGGCATGCACTCTACCTCTGAGCTATACCTTCCCCCGAATGTCTTCTTAATATTAGGTTGTAAGTATTCTTTATGTGTTACGGATGGAATGCTGTTACCAGATACCAGTGGGTGACTTTATGCTTTTACTAGTGGCTTTTGGAAAGCAAAAGTTTTGAGTTTTGAGAAAGCTCAGTTCACCAAAATTTAATTTTATAGTTCATAGTTTGCATGTGCTGCTTAAAAATGTGTTGCCTGATCCAGAGCCATAGAGATTTCTTTCATGTGTGTTTTACATGGTTTACGGTTCTCTCTCTTACATTTGGACCTCTGCTTCCCTGCAGTTAATTCTCGTGTACACGTGAGGAAAGGGTCGGTGCTCATTGTTTCTCACGTGGGCCTCTGGTTTGCAGGAGAGACGGTTCCTCTTCCGCGGACTTGCCCTGGCGTTTCTGTCAAGTGGCCACGTAGCATGAGCTGCGTCTTGGGCTCCAATCTGCCCGTTGATCGCTGTGTCCATTCTCACGGAACATCACACTGCGCTCATTCCCGCAGCTTTACAGTGGCTCTTCAAATCAGGTAGCATGAATTCTTTAATGTCGTTCTTTTCCAAAGTTGTTTTGACTAATTGACATCATTTTCATTTCATGTGAATTTTAGAATCAACCTGTCAGTTTCAAAAATCCTGCCAAGGTTTGATTGGGGCTGCATCGCTCCTGTGTAGCCATCGGGGTAGAACTGAACGGGGTTGCTTTTCTGACCCGTGGACATGGTGTGTCTCTCGTTTGTTAGGTCCTCATTGTGTCTCTCAGCATTGTGTTCAGGTTTTAAGTTACACGTCTGAGCATCTTTTGTTACACGTGTTCATAAGTATTTTTGACGCTAACGTAACTGTGATGTTCGAGGTCGCAGTTGCTCTTTGATGGCACTTAAAGTGTAACTGGTATTTGCGTACTGATGCTTGACTGTCTCACCGGCTGTGCTGTCACTGGATTTAAATCACGGTGCACACTTCGCTCGTTTTCTCTTCAGTGATTCATTTGTTATCTCATGAATCGGCTCGTCTCTCTAGTTAATAAATGTGTATTTCTTTATCGCCAGCTTCTTGTGGGTCTGCCTAGGTGGTCACACGGTGGACGGGGGGTTGGGTGGGAGGAGGTGGGGCTGCTCTGTCATCCTTTCCTCATGGGCTTGTGCCTTCGTGTGAGGGTCACCCTCAAGTCGGGGCGTCTGTGAAGAAATGACCTGAACCTACTTGTGCTCTATTTAAGGACTAGTTCAGTTAAAACTAGACAATGTATCCCCCAAATCCACTTGACCAGGGCACTCTGAAAGCAGATAAGCGAAGGGGCCCGTGCCCTCCGCTGCGTCCCCGCCTCCCAGCATCCCTGCCCTGGGACACGCACGTGTCCCCGCCTCCCAGCGTCCCGGCCCTGGGACACGCACGTGTCCCCACCTCCCAGCGTCCCAGCCCTGGGACACGCATGTGACAGTGGTTGTGCGAGCCAGCTGTAGGCTCCCCTTCGTCACTTCAGCAGCAGCGACAGCTCGTCTTGGTCACGGCCCACGCGGGAGGGCTCGTCTCCAGTCTGTGGGCTCTGCAGCTGCCTCTCCTCGCGCCCCTCGGTGCCCTGTAGGTGTTACTTCAAACAGAAGATGGACGCTCCATGCCATCCTGCGTGAAGCCTCTGGACAGTCACCGCGCCCCCTCCCACGGGGGCGTCCCCCTGCCCTGCCTTCCCGCCAGAGCGGAGGAAGCGTTTTCTCCCTGGCGAGAGGAGTCGCCTCAGCCCTGTTTCCAAAAGGCCCATCGAACTTCCTTCAGCTTGTTTACCTTAAATACACGTGTCCTTTTCAATGACATCCTTGAAACTTTGGAAGCGGGTTTTCTATTTTTTCCATTTCCATTGTGTTTGAGCATCTGCCTCCCTGAACCACATTGTGTTCTGTGAGGTGACGTCACGTCCCGTGTGAGAGGCACATCCAGTGGAACAATGAAGAGCTCCAGCGAGTGCTTCGGTGCGGTGACATCACTTGGCGAGTCAGAGTTTGCTTGCAGTCTGTAGATAATGAGTGTCCTACAGCTTTGAGCCCTCCGCGGTGAGTCACGGAGCCCTCCCTTTCTCTCTCACGTGTCACGCTGGGTTTACACTGACGATGGAGAGCACAGCTCGCTCCCCTTGGGGGGTCAGAGCCAACGGAGGCTCCACTTTAATCAGACGCCGTTTCACGCGTTTGAACCTGCTCTGTCGAGGGAGCACTTCGGAGGCATCAGATACACCCGCTTCCTCCTCATCCACGGACCCTGGTGAAGCCAGTCCCCGGCTGGGGTGAGCGGCTCCCCGGCCAGCCCGAGCGTCTCGGGTTGAAGCTGTCCCTTGGCCCTCTCCACCGCAGGCGAGGGGGCGCGGGGCAAAGCCGGTCCGGTTTCTGCTGCTTCCCCCCGAGTGGCCAGCCGGTGGGAAGCCCTCCCGACTGACTCCCTGTCGGTGGAACTGCTGATGGCTGCGCCTTCCCCTGAAGCAGAGCCGTTCGGTTCGGCCCTGCGAATCCATGAAACTCAGTGTGACAGATCGTGGTTTCAGAGGAGGCAGAGGCCAACACCACTGCTGTGGGTGAGAGAGAGGCCAGCACCGCGCTCGCTCCCCGAGGCACCAGGCTTGTCTGCAGGAGGCGGTGCTCCGCGGCTGAGCCAGGGCCCTGCTGGGCTGGGGGGCTCGCCAGGGGAGAGGAGGCCGGAAGTCTCAGCCCAAAGAGGGATTCAGGTTAAATCTGCTTGGGGCTGATCAAGGCTGGGCAGGAAGCGGCTCTTGGGGCCCGGCCAGGGCTCCTGGAATCCCAGTTAAGTCTGAGAGCGAAGCTCGTGTCTTCTTTCAGTGGGCAGAGGACCCTGCCTTCAAACAAAAGTTGGTCCAGGTTGCAGGGCCTTTGATGTTAATTCGATCCTGAAGTGTTTCTCTCTCTCTCTCTTCTTTTTTGTTTTTTAACTTTATAGTTGTATTGTTTTTCCTTTTTTATTAAAGTCCAGTCAGTTTACAACGTGGTGTCCATTCCTGTTTCAGGCGTACATGTACACACACTTCATTTTCAGTGTCTTGTGGTGACCTCTAACGAAAGGAATATGAACGTGAAGTCGGCGTCAAGTTCTTAAGTGAGGTCTTTGTTTCAAGTCTCTCGTTTGTGTCGCTGATGTTTCTCACACACGTGTCACGATGACTTTATCTTCTGTGTGTCCACATGACCGTGTAGTCGGCAGTCAAGTCCTTCCTTACTTAGGTTGAGAAATGGCTCGTTTCCCTGCGTCCTTTTTGAGAGCAAAGACCCAGGTGATGTAGAAACTCAGTGCAAGGGGAATGGACCCCTGAAAGCCCCCGGGACGCCGGGAGCGCCAGTCCCGCCCTGACCGTGGCTTGGCACGAGTCTGGTGGGAGGCTTTGCCCTGAAAGCCACGCCGCTCCGGAGTAGGACTTACCGTAAACAAACGTATTTCGAAGCACCTTTGGGGTTGTTCTCCTAACCGTTGCTGAAAAATTGCTCTTTAACGAGAACCTCAAAGTGCGATCTCAGCTCCAGCGAAGGAGGGTCCTGTCCAGCCGGCTCTGGGAGCAATCCCCGCCCCCTCTCAGGGCAGGGCCCGGCTTTCCTGCAGTGTGGACGACGGGTTGAGCCTGGCTGGCCCCCTTCCCGGGCCGCCTCTGATTTCGTGGGGCATCTTTGGGACAGACCTGCGTGGGTGCATGCCCTGTTCCTTTCCCCCTGAGGCTCAGACGTCGGCCTGGGTGACGTCTGCGTTCACATTTATAGCAGCGGTAAGAAACAAAAACAACTGAAAGACTCCAAATATTGCCTCTAGGATGGTCACAGAGTGCCCGCCACGTGGTCAGGGGTGTGCCTGCCGTCCGGGAAGGGCACGGGCTCGTTCAGAGATGCGCAGGTTCCCCTGACCCCACATGCCCGGAGCTGGGCCGGTGCCTCTTCCGTCTGGCCAGGTCAAGCCCGCGCTCCTGCAGCCTCTGGCCCCGGGTCGGCTGCACGTTCACTATCTTATTTCATCTTCAACAATAGCGTCTGAAAGTATTTCCTGATCTTCTGGGGGAAGAAGCGGATGGTCAGAGTGATTAACTGATTGGTGCACAGACCAGCCAGTTAGAGGCAGGGCTAGTGGACCCAGGACTTGCTCTCATCTGCTGCCCTCTCCCCGGCGTCACAGCTGGGTCATCCCAACTTCCTGCCGGACGTGAGTGTCAGTTGCTGGCCCTGCCTGGCCAAGAGTCCCACCAGCCAATCCATCACGCCCCCTCCAGAGCCCGGGGCCTCCCAGAGCGCGGTGCGTGCTCATCACTCATCTCCTTTTTACTGTTGGCTCCAGCCTTAGCCATCTGAATACAAGTTCCTTAAGAACAGTTCCTGGGAAATCTGTCCATTTCAATGGAATGGTGGCCAAGACTCGTTTTTGGCCTCCCTGTGGTGACAGGTGTGCAGCTGGACAGACCCTGGCCTCAGCCTCCCCTGGTGGTAGGAGTGGCCATGTTTGTGCTACCTTGGGGTCTGTGACTTAAGGTCCCTGAGGGGGTTCGTGTCTCCCCTCGCATGAGACGGGATAGAGAGGCTTCCTGCCCCTGGACTCGACTCTGCAGGGGATGGCGGAGAATTCAGATGGAGGAACCCAAGGCTCGGAAGGGTGTCCTGGAGCAGAGCTACCTGCAGCCTGGAAAGCTCACCTGGGAGATGAGAGAAACAGCCTCACCTGTTTTAATCCACCAGCTTGTCATCAGGTCTCTGCCAGCTCGGGGTGCTCATGGGGCTTGGGACCTGACCCACGACACCTGCAGGAGACACTGCAAATGGTTCACACGTCAAGTGCACCGTGTGGGATCCTGATACTGACGCAGGCGGGGGGTCAGGGAGGAGGCTCCATGTGGAAGACACGGGGGCACTGCCGGGCTAAGGAGCAGGCGGTCAGAGGCACAGGTTTGGGGGGACGCGGGCCGGGGCCGTGGAGCTGCAGCAGGGCGGTGCTGCCCTGTCCGTGGACAAGTCACCCGTCCCCGTGGCCCGGAACCACAGCCAGCCTCAGCTCTCAGGTCTGTGGCTGGTGATCTCCGCCTGGCTCTGCATCCCCTGGGGGTCTTCTGGGATGCAGTGGGCCTGGCGCTTCCGGCACAGGGTGACCTCTCCCCCCAGAGGGAGGGAGCTCAGACCCCACCCCCAGGCCGTGTCCCCCTCTTACTGGGGGAGGGGCGTGGAGGGGTGCTGGGTGCCTTCCTGACGCCCCACTGCAGGGGAGAGGCCTCGAGGGCAGAGGCCTGGGTGGGGGGCCTGGTGAGCGAGTCCTGTGGCCCCAGTGGCGCTGCCAGGACGCGCTCCGGTGGGTCTTGGCCAAGTATGTTAGGAAATCTCCAGGAATGATGGGAAATAGGTCCCGGAGCGAGTGTTACACAACAGGGTCGTGCGGCTGGGAGCCGGGCGGGAGCGCACTGCTCGCTCCGCCACCGGCCCCCGGGTTTTAGGGCTCACAGGCCCTGGGCTGGCCCTGAGACTGGGGTCTGCCTGCCACGTGACTCAGGGCCCACGCAGGCCTCGGGCAGGTCCTGAGCCTCCCGGGGGCCCTGTGGCCTCGGATCCCGGCTGGAGCCGCAGGGACCAGAAGTCCCAGAGTCTCCCTGGGAACGCGCCCCGCTTCCTCACTTTCGTGGGCGGGTTGGGGAAAGGAACTACTAAAAATAACCAGGAAAGAGATCGCAGAGGAAGAGCAAGGACGCTGGCCCGTGCTTTGACTAATATGGACTTTCTCGGTCCTGAGGAAGTACTTTGTTTCAAAAATAGCTGGTGCTTTTCCAAGAGGAGCCTTGGGGCTGTGAGTGGTCCCCTGCATCGTCGCATCACTCCTGCAGGCCGGGGGCAGGGACGGGGGCAGAGACCTGCAGGAAGGGAGGGCCCCCGCCTCTTACGGTGGAATTGCTGGTGTTGAACGAGCTGCTGAAAACACAGCTGGGGGCACTGGACAGGTCGGTTAGGGACAAAGATTTGTCCCAAGAACGAATTTTGAGCTTGATGAACTGGAGTTTGCCAGCATTTGTAATCAGGGAAGCTTGTTTTAACAGGTAAAAGTTGGAGTTGGAGGGCGGACACCAGAAAGGTGGCAGTGAAGAATCTACACCTTGCTTTTAAGAATAAGCCAAGCCACCGAGGACTTGCTCCGAGCCGGGTGCGGCTCTGAGCATTTTCTCTGTGTCAGCCCGTCCGACCTTGCTCAAGCCCTGGGCAGTGGCTGTCACGGTCTCTGTTCATTTGGGGAAACTGAGGCTCAGAGAGGTTAAGTTGCTCAACATTGGGAGCAGGGGTGGAGTTTGACTTCAGAGCATCTTTGTTTCCTTTCCAAACGGCCTGGTGGCTGTGTGTGCCACATGGGTGTGCCTGTGTGCACATGCTTGCACACGCGTGGGCTGTTTTTGGCAGGCGTGCATTTGCTGGCAGAACTCCAGTCCCAATTTCACTGGCTCTCCCGTCCCCAGGGACCATTTGTCCTCTGACACCGGCGCTTCATTTTTCACTCGCCATTTCTTATCGGCCCGCAGTCCTTGGAAAGCTATTTCCTCTGGAAGATGGATGTGAACAGTGCTTTTTGGTAAAGAGAATGTGGTTTCCACAGGCCTGAAGGCTGAGTGTTTCCAGCAGACGTGGAGACGCTGTGATTGGAGCCCCGGTCCTGCTCCGTGTCTGCTCTGCAGAGGCCTCGACTTCCTGGCCGAGGGCAGGTTCAGTTTGTGTTACCATGTGCGTGGTCAAGCAGACGTCTTCCTGCCGGAGACGTTCAAGGTGGGGACTAGGTCTGAGACGTGAACACCTGTTTGTACGCTTGTGTACTTGTGAACCCTTGATGACTTTGCTTTGTCACACTTTCTATTCTGTTTTAGGCTTGACCTCGCTTCACTGCAAGGAATCATCTTTTTTTCAAATCATCGGAAGTTCATCCGTGTTTATAGCAAAACCTCATCAAGTCCGACTGCTCCACGTCACACATCCTAGTGCAGCTGTAATTAAGTTTGAAAAGCACGTGAAGAATCATTTGCTTAAAATGGATAACACACCCAGGGCTTGGGGCGACACAGCACATTAAAGACATGTTTCTGTGTTCAGTTATTCTTACATGCAAATCAGCACGTTCACTGCAAAACAGACTCGGTTGTTCACGAACATCTTCCAGCGTCTTAACAGTTCGGATCCCTGGATGTGCAATTCCTCGGAGGGTCTGGCAGTAAAGCACGTTAAAGTTTATTGTGACCCAGAGTTGTCCTTCACATTGTACCCCTGCCGGTCCTGGGTCCCCCCCAGTGTCCTTCCCATGCGCACGTTGGTGTGCTTGTCAGAATCTATATTAATTATTTCCTCCTTTCTCTGCTTTCTGCGACTGTGTCACTCATTCGAGAGGCCCAGCACGGCCTTCCAGACGCTGGGAGACTCCGGGTCTTCTTGGCCCCTGGCAGTGGCTCACACTTGGTGGGAGTGACTTGGTGCTTCTGTTTTTCTAGAATAGACAATTCTAGAATTTTCTAGAATTATACAATTAATGTTAATTCCTCTATGATGGTTTGGTGGCGTTCTTCCGGGAAACTAACTGGGCTGGAGATTGCCTTCTGGGGCTGCTTTTAGCTGCAAGTTGGATTTCCTCAATAGCTCAGAGGCTGTTCAGATTCCACGTGTCACAGTGGGTAAGTCGTGGAGTTTGTGCTTTTCAAGGAACT